GAGTCACTGGAGGAGGAATTCATGTAATAATCTTTTCCGGTATTTGTAGGACCAGGAGGATAAAATATCATTTAATTTTATTTGATTAAAAACTACTAGGCAAGAGAGAAGGAAGAAAAAATGAAGCATCCTTCTCTTATTTCAAGCATGGAAGATGAATGGAATATATAAAAAGCATATTATGAAGCAGTATATTGATTAATTTCAAATCTGATCAATGCTTCAAAGTAGTTGTGTTAATAAAATAATTTTATTTGATAACTTAAGGTACTCTTTACTTTTTTTTAGGTTCGAGATGCAAAGTGTTGCTTTTGAGTCATACAGATGCCTCATAATCCAGCTGTTCGAGTTCTTGTTTGCTAGTTTAGACGTGTATCTGCAGTTTAAAGATTATCCATGGAAGGTCTTTGTTTACCTTAGTTATGCCAAAGCGTACTTAACGTAGTCCTGTTGAGGTTTGCTACGATGCCAAAAATGCTTTAGCCTGTTCCATTAATGCTGGTGATGCAGCATTTTGCCCAGCACTGTGTGTTCAGTCCGGCGGTCGCTTCTGCTTGAATCAGAGCTGTGTCCTCTTGTGTGCGGTGCTCCCATTGACAGCTCACGTTACAGTTGTCCGCTGCTGCTTAAAGGTTTGGTTGGTTTGTGTCGGCTCTTTCAGAAAGGGCAATATCATTTGGTGCACGTGGTTTATTCACAGTGAATGCTTGCATGAATTCTTAACTAAAGCTTTTAGATGCTGTCAATATTGAAAGCTAGTGACTGTCATGGAACAGTGATCCTTATCGTTTCTCCTTGTCTGTCCTTACACACTGCTAGTATTAATTTTTGGTTTATTTATAAGAACTTCTGTATGGTTCATTAATATTCAGCATATATAAGGGATTTATTAAGCCTAAAGTTTATCAAATTTAAATTTACTGAAAGCAGAGGCAGATGTACGTGAGGAAAGGTGAGACTGTTAAGCAAAATAATAAATACAAATAATCTTGAATGAGCCAGAAGGTCTTCAAAAACTCATTTTTTGGGGGGGGAAAAAAAAGCAGTATTAAATATTGCTTAAATAGCGAAGTTGTCTGGATATATGTTTAGCCAAAAAGGTCCCAAACTCGTATATTATTTTTCCGCTATTCAAACTTGGTGAAACAAAGGGGCTTCTCCATTGTATGGAAGTGTGGGCCAGAGAAAGGCACAAAGGATCAAATCTGTGTAATACTTTCCAGAGATCACCAAAGAAGAATTAGATGTTTAGAAAATGAGCAGATATGCAAGAAATAAGCGAACTGCAAAGCATACCGCTGAAGAAAGACTATTTTCTGGAACTTCACATTACTAGTGAGTTTAAGTGGAATAAAATTATTATTCCAGACTTTTTTTTTGTTTTAAAGAAGATAAGTAGCTGCTTGTAGCACTTCCTATACCTTCCTTGGCTCTTCCTGAAAACATTCTAGAGCTCTTTCAGGAACGGCAATGTTGAGGTTTTCAAAAATTTTAGAGCTGGATTTCGAGCTGTGATATATAAGAGCACTTTATTTTTTTTTTTAAAAAACAAAACAAACCCAACCCAGATGTGTTACTGATGTTGATTAAACCTATTTTTTCCAAGGGGAATTATGATGTAGTTTAGATTGGTTTTGATTGTTTTGTGTTGCTGCAGAATAAGTGCAATCCTAAATGACACTTGAGACTGTTATGTCCAAGTTTTCTGAGTGAATTTCTGAGTGGGTTAATCCTGAGCAAGAAATAAGGTGATTTTAATTTTCAGCTGTTCCTTCGTATTTTTCTAAAGGGGTTTTTCTACAGAAATAGAAGATAAAAGTGTAAGGTCTGTTTCTTGCTTATGTACGTTACTTCTGGTAAGGATTAGATAGGAAAAACTTGAGTGGAAATGAAAGAATATCAGATAATTCTTGGAAAAGAGGATTTGTATATTTTCTAGAATTCATGTTGTTTATTGCAATTTTGTAAGCTAAATGCAGAGGTAACAATTACACTTCTATAGTAATAATTTTCATTTAAGAGAGATAATAAAAATTTTGCTCATTAGTTAAATAACCCACTCAATAGCCAGTACTGGATTTTTACAAGGGTAGTACAGGTAACAATACAGTGCAAAAATAACTCCATTCTGAATGGACCCTCTATCAAAATCTGATCAACAGTGGTAATATGAGTGAGAGCTTATAGAGAAAACAAATGTTTTCAGTAGCTTGGAATTTTTAATGTATGCAAGTATTTTCAAAACCTAGTGAAATTCTTGAGGTTAGTTCTCTTTTAAAAAATACCCACACTTCTCTGACTCCTCCAGTTTTGTGCTTATAAATTGGTTTCAGTTGAATATATTTTTGTTTTTCTTATCGCAGAAGATAAATCAGAATGCTTAAACAGATTGTGGGAGCATTTATATAGTATGGATATTGTATCTCTGTAACATAACTTTGTCTTATACATACTGCTTACAAAAAAAATTCTCTTCTTTATTTCTTCGTATGAATGGTGAAATTAGGTGGTGAGCCAACTGCACTTTTTTGTCCATGAACTTTGTGAAATTATAGGAAAGCTCTTCCAGAGCATAGGCTTAGGAAGCATGGTGGTATGACACAAAGAAGTTAAATCATGACAACCTAAAGATCTTAAAGATCATAATTTTCACTTACTTTTAGCGACAATAGAGTTTTATTATTAGTCTCACAAATATTCAGTTTTAGTATGGGATTTCCATTAAAAAGCCTTTGTGTTATCTAAAAATGTTTAGATCTGTCTTCATAGCGTTTGAATTTCTATTTTTATCCAAAGGGATTTTGTGGTTGAACCTTAATTCTTCTGAGATGTTACAAAATTTCCCTTAAAAGCTACTTACCCTTTATAAATGGTTATTTCACATTAATTTCTATTTTAAATTATTATACTTGATAAGTGGTCCTCAAAAACTGTTTCATGTTAAAAATGGAGTGAAAAAAACCCAACCGGGTATTCATATTGAAGGATATATTATAGTTTAGCTTGCATGGAGTCTGATTTCCCCCTGATCAACAGAGGTCAGTTAAATCAACTGAGAAGAAAGAGTTATGGGAATTCGGAGATGCAGAAACTAGAGAAGATGCTGTTCAGTTACGTTTCTACTTTGGTTTAAATACACTGTTATGAAACAATAAAATTCTGTCTCTTTCTAAACTCCAGTATGTTTTCCCCAGAGTAATTAAAAAAGGAAATATTTCCTAAGTGGAATTGCAGTCGTACAACCTCTGCATTGCTAAGTGAAGAGCTAGTTATTCCTGTCAACAGAAGAGTTTTTGACTTCTAAGCAGTTAAGTACCAGGGTTGTCAGGCCAAAGGAAGAAGGTGAATGGGGCAGCTTCTAGAAACAGTACTGCTGTTTAACAGAGAAAAAGAGACTTAAACCAGCATTAAGTTCTACTTCCTTTTCTTGTGTTTCTCCCATTAGTTGAATCATATAGCCCAAGCTGCCTTGGTTCAGGGTGACTGACTGTGTCCCAAGTCATTGTTCATTAGTAAAGTCTCAGGAGCAAAGCCTCCTGATGAGCCGGTTGGTCAAATGGACTCTGAGTAGAGAAAGCTCTTGAGAATGAGGCTACAGCAACTGCAGAGCTGTCAGGAGAGCAGTGATCACCTTTCCAGAGTCTTACCTCAGCTGCCCTTCTGCTGCTTCCTTCCTTTCTCCTGTTGGGACCTGCTGCACACCAGTTGCTCAGTCTCCCTTCTTTGCAGGCAAACAGTTTGCTCCAGACTTTCTCCTCTATGTTGTGGCTGGGAGTTAACCAACCTTTTTGAAGTCTTGTTTTCTCTGTGGAATTTGATGACCCCATTACCCTTCTCAAGTATGAGCTAGAAAGTGTTGTGTGTGTTTTTGTTTTTTTGTTTTTTTTTTTTTTTTTGTGAAGCATTTGATGGTGGGAATGGGAGTTTTCCATTTATTTTCTAGAACTTTGAGTTCTGGGAGACTTGCTATAGGAGTTTCAATGCCCAATTTTACTCAACTTGTGCTGAATCTGTACCTGTGTGTGTTTTAAAGTGCATTCAAAGTTCCTTGAATGTGTTGTCAGTTTTAGTCCAAAAGACTGGAGAGGATGGCTGTGTCTGTCTGGTATTACTCAAAATCTTCTAGTCTTAGTTTGTGTATCCAAAAAACCTAACATGGTGTATGTCTGTGGGCAGTAAGTATTCTTTAGAAGTGAGGAAATAGATATCTATGGCTTATCAAAAGCTGTAACTCAAGCCTATAGAGTATGTCACATCAGCAATTGAAATACGATTGCTGTTAAGGTGGGGTATTCCTATGCTATTCTGCATCTAATTAATACATGCAATGATGGTAAAGATGATGCAGCAGGACTGGGCTTCAGTATATCTTAGTAACCTAAATACAAGGCTTTGTCCTTGCACAGTGAACAAAAATCAATGATACTGTGTTCTGAAAATTTACTGGTTCTGTGCTAGGTAAGTTAGTCCCAGTCAGCATATGGACGTGTGCCTGTGCTGCCATCACACTTTGATCTGTGGTATAAAACTGTGATAGTGTCATTTTTTTTAACTGATACACAATACATTAGCGTTCCTTTTAGAGACATTCTTACAAAGCAGATGATGCTGATTACTTCCTATAGTTCCATGTCCTGTTTGTCTTTGTATCCATCAAATTGGTGGACAAAGCAAGTCCAACCAAAGCAGTCAAAGTGGCTTTCCTCTAAAATCAGAATGTAAAGAAGTAGGAAGAGTTTGAAGCCGAATTGGTTGTACCAAATGACTGTCCTTTTGTTCTGGAAGGATTGCTGAGGGGGAGGTCACAACCCCTAAAAAAAAATTACTCTGAAGTGATTGCAATTCTGCACAAAATACAAAAATATTTCCAAAAAGGCATCATGACTATATTGAATGGTATGTTTTCCTCCAACATATGAGAGATTAGCAAAAGAAGCTTTAAATCAACAGTTGATTTATCACTGTTCTAAGGTAAAGGTGTTGTCTTTTTCCCTCAACAGCGTTTCCTTGATATGACGTTTGGAGCCGGAGGTCATACTACAGCTCTTCTAGAGGAAACCAGCGACATTACAATATATGCCCTAGACAGGGACCCCACAGCGTATAAAATAGCTCAGCAGCTTTCAGAATCGTACCCGTAAGTTGTCTTCTCCTTAAATATGGTCAGGATAAGGTTGGTACTATGTTATATATATACAATTTTATATCTTTCTATAGCTTTAATACAGTTTTTAATGGCTTATTGTAGAATGGCATTGTATGCTGTGTGTACTCCATTAGATAGGGGATCCAAGTCAGTTTATGAGTATTTGAATGCAAATTCTTCTGAGGTTTTTGGAGTTGAATGCATATTCTGTACTCTGTTAATTTTGAGTATGCATCAAGTAGCCAATTTTATAGTTAAAAATTGGTTTGAAAAGATTCATGTGCTCTGCTTACTTTGAGATGATTTTGATGGCAGTTGTACAAAAACATACGCTTTGAGGTAAATATTTCACAAAAAAAGAGGGAATAACATACTTTTAAATTAAATAATGAGGTGATTTCAAAATGGCTTATGAATATTTTTGTTTTTAAAAGACAAAAAATAATTGTAATTCCCTATTAGGTTTGATAAATATTTTGCCACTGGCTTCAGAAACTACTGAAGAATTTAATATGCTACTATTTCTGTGTAAAGCTCATGCTTAAATTTTCTTTTTGAACAGATTGCTGAATTTGCTGAATGAACAAATGCTAAATGCAAATTTTGGATTTTTTTGGTTGTACAAAGTTCTTGTTCCTTTCTTTTAGTCAAGAAACAGGCCAGTCAAGCATGAGTACATTCATGCAAAAATGTGCAACATGTAGAGTTGAATATGAGCTTTTCAGAAAGTGCTATCGTTTAAATTTGACCAAGAAATAAAAAAATGTAGATATATAATTATATAATATGAAATAAAT